CTAAGGTTGTCATTCAAGGTGGTTCTCTCAGGTCCAACCTGCAACCAATCCAAGCTGGAATTCTGATTTTAAAGGATACTGGCTTTGCCTTACCCATATAGATCCCACATGAGGGGTAATACCTACAGGTTCTGCCCTCTTCCGCCCTCCTGCAACTCCACTGGCCCACACCACAGGAACAATTGCAGCTGCCACTTCAGTCGGGACCTTGCTGCTGACAGGAGTTATTCCCTGCACAACAAGAGCTGCTGCTTTGACACATTTAGTTCCAGCAATTACAGTTTCAACATCCCCAGTTTTTAATTTCATTTCTGCCTTAACTTTTCCACTCAATCTCTTCCTAGCACAGGTTTGGCTGAGTTTGGCAAATAGGGAAACTGAGGAATTCCCCAATGTTTTCCCAGTTTGACCCCTGTCACACCAGTCACCTTAACACTGCCAGTCCTTAATTCTCCTTCTCTTGTGTTACGGACTGAGGAAGTTGGACCTGTGTCTGAGCAGGACATGTGCAAACCAAATGCTGGGGACTGGAACACACACCTTGCACTCCTGCAGCTCTTACCATTGCATTCAAGAGAAAACAGCCAATTGGACCATCACTGCTCGATTCTTAATCCCAATCCCACACTTCCTTTGCACTTGGAGCACCACTTTTAGAACCCAATTACAGTCCAGTAGAGAGCTCCATGTCTAGCATGGACAGCTACACCTGGGATACTCTCAGCAATGCCTGGATCCAGTGCAGGGACCTTGCTTTGAACTCCCCAGGGCCGGGCACCCCGAGGATCTCCCCGAATAATCCTTTCGGTGCGCGCTGGAGTCCTCGGGGTGCCCCAACCCGGGGGGCACCAACAGCACTGTCCCTCCAGGGGGGCCCAATTTGGTCCCAAGGCTTCAATGGACAACCCAAAAGGCATTTCAAGAGCCCTTCTTTGGAACCCACCAACGGGGACGGGGAGGAAGCCACAACAAGGCCTCATTTCTAAATGCAGGGGGATCTTGCCTGTGTCCCAGACTGGTCCGGGGATCTGAGGCCCTTCCCGAGAAAATCTCGGTGCCGGCGTGAAGGACCAGAGATCCCTTGGAGCCACGGGAGAGCAGGCACAGAGTCCCTCCTGCAGGGCCAATTTTGCTGCCTGCTAACAGCTCTTCAAAGAAACTTCTAAGACTCAATTGGTGAGGTTTAGAAGCCAGGCATTCCTACACACTATGAGATATTTTAAAAGCTTACTGAGTGAAAAAACATCAAGCTTTTATCAGTGACAACTGATCTCAAACAGACAGCTCCTTTTTCCTTTCAGTACAAAATTATTTTCATGGAATCATTTAAGAGGAAGTGCCCAGGAACCCCAGACTGTGCTTTCCAGAACAGAAAAGAAACAGAGGGAAGGAGCTTTGCACGAGTGTAACATACTCCAGAACACACCTGACTTTAGTTTTACTCTTGATGTTCAAATACAGCACAAGACAAAAACTCCAGCAGGAGAGCTGGCACATTACCCATGGTACCCTGAAAGTCCACCTTAAGAGAGCTGGAGAAAAATCGCAGTTGTGCCAGTCCCTTTTGCCTGCAGATGCCTGGGGATCCTCTCCATCTACCTCATGCTCTCCCAACAGCAGAAAGGGTGACCTCGGGGACATGGTGGCACTCCACATCCTGCGGAGAGAGCAAGGAAACCTTTAGCAGAAAGGGGAGTTGGAATCTAAAACTTCCTTTCCTGGGAGCTTTGGGAAGCCTGCAACCAAGAGGGGGGAAATTTGCATCTCCTTTGGTGCAGGTGTCAACAGAGGCCAACAGAGCTTGCACCTTTTTCAGACAACTGTGCCCCTTTTGGCTCCCTGGCAGCTCCAATGGCACCAGAACCCCCTTCCAGCACACCCACGGCTGTCACACACAGCCACCCACACACCTTTGCTCCAGCCCACACGTGGCCAACATTTCCTCACCCTGCACATCCCAAGGGCAGTAGTTTTGTAGAGAGCACAGCAACCCCCCTGCCCTCACAAACTGCCTCCCTGCAAAAAAAGGAATCATTTCTCCTGGACACTTTGCCCACAGTCAAGGGCTTTTCAAATGTGCTCAGGGTCCCTCCCGGCTTCTGCCTGTCCTTGCATTTCAAGGCATGGCCATGTTTCAGCAGCAGAACCCAGCTCCTCACGGGCAGTATAAGCCCTGCTCTTACCTGGACAGACTCCCGGGCTCGGCACAGCTGTGGCTCATGGAGCAGCTTCCCAAGGCCCTTCTCCCTCCCAGCAGGAAGCACAACTCGCCTCCACTCCCCAGCACCAGGGGAAACCACGAGCCAGGCTGCAAATTGACACAGAACGAGCAAAAAGCATTAATGCAGCACCAAAAAAAACCAAGCTAAAGCAGTCTTGGCCTCGTAACCCGGCACAGGGAAAGGGTTTGGAATTCCAAAGCAAAACTCGATCCACCCAGAGAGCACCAGCCCCCCAGTCCTGCCACGGCTCCCCCAGGGTCACCCGGCAGGGAAGGGGTTTACCCGGCCCCCGCTGCCCAGCACAACGCGCCCCTAAACGCCCCCCGGCTCCCCCGGCCCACAAACCCAGCGGCCAAGGCGCTCTCCCCTCCGCAGCCCGGGCAGCAGCGGGGCCGCGCCCTCAGCCCTCACACACACAACCGGCCCCACCCCCCCCGCCGGCCCTTTATACCGCGGGCCGGCAGCGCTGCCCAATCAGCGCTCGAGCGCCGCCGCCCAATCCCAGCCCGCCGGTCCCCGCGGCCCCGCCCCGCCCGCTCCGCTGAGGGAGATCGGGAACTGGGGACAGGAACCTGCTGCTGGGGGAGACACCCTGGACATGGAATTGCACACGGGCACCTGAAGCCCAGGCGATTTGCTTGCCTTGGCAAGGCCCTGCGTTGCTCCCAGGCACAGGAAATCTCTGTTTCCCTGCCCAGCCCTGGAGACAGGTGGCCCCTAAAATCCCCGGCAATCAGGAAGCCCAGGCTGCAGGAGCTGGCAGGACCCAGTGGCCGTGTGTGCCGTGGGACACCGTGTCCTGCAGCCCCACGGACCTGCACAGCAGGGACAGGTCCTGGCAGCGTTTCAGTGCCGAGGCCAAAGCTGGGGCTCAGGGACAGCTGGGGCACATGGCAGCTCTGGGAATCTCTGCCATGGATGGCTGGCCATTCCAGGATTGCCTGCTGGGCAAAGGAGCTTCTCTGCAGACTGTGGAACCAACAGGTCTCATGGACTGTAAGAAGCCAGAATTGCTGTAGAGGAATCTGGGTCAGAAGAGACAGTTCAAGGTCTCTAAGTCTGACCTCCTGCTCAGGCCACAGTCACCAATGGGATCGGACCGGGCTGCTCAGGGAGGGATCCAGTCATGTTTTGAAACATTCCACGGATGGGGATACAACAACCTCCCCAGGCAACCCATTCCATGAGCGACTGCCCTGACAAAATACCTCCCCCTCCTATGCGGTTGGAAGCAACAGCTGGGCTGGCAGGAGCAGAACCTCCCTGCTGGGCCATTCCCCAGCAGCCCAAATGCCCTGTCCAGGGCTTGGTGCGGAGGCCGGGGCGGCTCGTTCCTCCAGCTGGGCATTTGAGGAGCTGCCCTTGCCCCGTCCCTGCCAAGTCCCTCTGGCAGTGGTGCAGCTCCTCAGCTGGAGTGCCTCTGAGGGACCCCCGGCCACGTTTCCCAGCAGCTGAAGGAAGGGAGGGTCCCCCCCCAAGCTGGGCTGCCTTTCTCTCGCTGCCTTTTCCCCACCTTTACACTGCAGTGACAAGAGCTGCACTTTCCCAGGGAACGGGGCAGGGACAGGGGAGAGCAGCAGGCAGGAACCCCCTTCTTTTCTGCAGGCCAATGACTAACTGTGTGTGAAGGGACAGCGACTCTGGTAACAACTCCACCTCCCACTTCTTGTCACAGATCGATCTGAGGCACTTGTCAGGTCAATACCTGCCCTTTGCAGGAGCACCAGGCTCGTGTTCAGTGTCCTCATTGTAGCCCACGAATCCCTCTAGGTGTTAAATCAGCCTCTCTGTCCTGATTCTTCTCATGAAGAATTAGCGTTTAATGAGAGATACAAATTATCCTGAGAGCGTCTATGTTACAAGCTCAGTTTGGCAGTGTTGCTGTCCTGGAAATCGATGTTCTGTCTGAGTGCATGCTTTATCCAGAGCTGCTGAATCTCTAATCCTTACAATAAAGTCCTTTCCAAACAATCAGACAATCAGATGCACTTCAGTTCAGAAAATGTCTTTTAACCTCCCTGTATAGTACAGAAAACTGACTGACTGAGTGTGTACTCAATATAGCTTTGTTAAGCTATAAAGAGGACTCCTGCAATTATACAGATATAACATGAGACGGTTTCCCCCACAGGAAGATCATGTTGCCATGGTAACCAAGAAAAGTCAATTTAACAGTGGAGCTCACATCTCGCATTTTCCTCGTTTTCTGTATCAGCATTTCCCCATGATTGTTACATTATTTAGAACCAAAGAACTTTAATCAAAGTTGTAAACTTTCTGGAAGCAGTTGGAGTTTGCTTGCACTATGGGAAAACATTATTTCTCCATTCTAATAAGTAGACTTTAATTTAATCATAGAATCATAGAATGATTTGGGTTGATCTTTTTTCTGGTAGCATCATGAAAATCTCATGATTGTGATCTGCAAGGAAGTAGAGAGCATAGACCAGTGTGTTTAAGATAGTCAGCCATTCTCTCACTATTCTACAAATGAAAGGCAACAAACTGGCTAATATTTTTAATTATCTAGAATTTGAATTCTAAGTTAGTGTTAAATCTATTAAGCAGAAAGAAAGAATTATTCTTGACATGATTAGAATCAAAAATTTGGTGGTTGTTTGCTTTCACAATATTGTAGTGAATTTCCATAACTAGAAACCTACTTTTGGGATAGGCATATCTGTAATAATATCAAATTTTATTTTTTTTTTTTAAAATCTTGAATAGAATTAGGAAGTAAATTAAAAAAAATTACTTTGTCAATATCCTGATTTTTTTTTAAATCCACTGTGTTTATTTTAAACAATTTGAAGAGAGCAAAGAGAAATAATAACAAGCTTATTGGGGTTCAATTTCTTTCATGGACAATAAATTTGCCAAAATTCAATTTTAGAGAAATTGTTTAGAAGTCATTATTGAATTTTGCAAACCTGGGTGACAAAGTATTTGTCTTCAGCAAGTAGGGATGGCAGACTTTGTAGTTCTGTTCTTTGCTTTAATAATTGTTCCTTCATTATCTGTTTTTCATCCTATTTGTTAAACTACATATCTGAAAACAGAAACAGAATAATATCAAGTTACAGGTTATGAATCGTGTTGACAGAAATGCCAAATAATGTTAGAAAATAGAGGGAATAAGAGATTAAATATGAGGGGATATTTTAAAGATGCTTATGACAACTGCTTGGCTTTATAAATACAGTGTTATATTGACAACATTCCACTCTGCTGCACTTGCTTCTGCCTGAATACAGATTAAAATTATGCATCATAATTAATAAGGATTGATATTATTCAGTATTCTTTATTCAAAAGAAAAACCAAAAGGCTGAGTGACTTTACACAGACAGGTAAGCAAGCAGGGGAAGAGCTGAATGCCAATTAACTTCTGACCAGTGAGTCAGAACTTGCCTGTGTTTGGGAGTTTTACATTACAAACAGCCACGTTGCCTGAGGCAGGATCAAAAGCTCCCTAAAGACATTGTAGCCAGCAGCAGCATTTTGCTTTCTGTTGGTTTTGGTGTGTGTTTGTTTGTGTAAGCATGTAGGCATATATCATACCTGAAAAAAAAATCCCAGTCTTAGTGGGTGGTTCTTGGTGAAAGAGCTGGTCAGATGTTGGTTATGAGATCTGGGAAATATTCATTTCCACCTATAAAAGCAACACAGATGAGTTAGTCTGGGGCATTTCTCTTTTAGCTTCCATTGTTTACAGTGGAAAACAAGCACTGATGAAGAATTCTCTGTGAAGAATTCATATAGAAGATAAATCAAGGGCGGATCATCCTCCAGCAGCAATGGATGTAAATCGTGGGGAGGTCTGCCCTTAACCCTCAGCTCTCCAATTTGTGTAATTATTGTGCTTTGCTGAAGAACAGATAAAACTTGCCAATGAGTGGAAGAATAAGGGCAGGAGGGTCCAATTTATTCCTCACCTGGCTGGTGAGGACCTTGTGCTACCAACCTTGTTGTCTCCCTGGACTTACACTGAGACCCTGGACTTACATTATGAGAACCAGAATACCTTAAACAGCTCCTGCCTCAGGCAGTAGAACAGGAGAATAGTTTATCTGTTGCCTCAGACCATAAAAGTCCTTTGTAAGTGTCTGCAGGAAAATAACTTGTCAAAATTGCCACCTGAAGAAACAGGTTTCAGCAAGCTAGAACGCTGTTTATTACATGCTTGACACAGAGGCAACAGAAAGCTGTGAAGAACTATTTTGGCAAGTACAAGATGATGAATGACTTCATCTCTTGAGTTCAAATGTTAAAGTGAGTTCCTTTTTTTTTTTTGTTTATTTGTGAGTTCAGTGGTGATGGCACAAGTTCAAGTTAAGCAATGATTTCTGTAATATTTTTAACATGTTACTCCTGTATGGATAAATCTGTAACAATGATAAAAAGCAGGTGATAGTTAAGAACTAAATCTTAGTTCACACCAAGTGTAGCAATGACATCCTGACTACCAAAACCAACAGTGAGTTATTAGCAGGCATCTAATATATAGCTAATAGTGTGCTTCATCATCTTAAAAACCAAGCAGAATATACATGAAGCAGAGTAATTTGAGTGCAGTTAAAGAGGCCATGTCGATGGACATACACTGAATTTCTCAGTGCCCAATGAAATTCAATACAAGCAACCATAAAACAGGCTGTGTTTTATTTATTTTAGCTAGCAACTGCTCTCTGTAAACATCAGCTTATGTATGATGTCAACAGATTTTAGCCACAGAAGAGCTACCATCCCCTGCATACAGAAACACATAACTGGCAAATGCAAGTAAAATTAAAATTAAAAAAATACTCCACAGTAAGGCAAACATCAAAATATGTAATGATGTTTATACCTGACTTATTTTAAAAGGGACAGCATCTACAAACACAACTATGAGACAAATTAACTATAAACTAATAGGGTGGCTGAGGTTAAGGACTGCTTGTTTCTTAGAGTTTGGGGTTGTGTATTTTTGGCATCTAACCACACTGAGAACACTGCAACTCGGAAAGCAGAAAATGGAGAAGGTAAGTTTAGCAGTTGCTTTTACACGGTGAATGATTCAGATCTCAGAGGCTTTAACGAGGTTTCCAGGTTACCTGTGTAAGTTCCTGGTCAGTGGAAGTATTGCTAGAGTATAGCTGACTCTTTGTGAAAAAAAATCTGGCTAATGTGCTTTCCAAGAGTTGCCCCGAGGCATAAATATTTATATTTGAAAATGAAAAAAAAACAAACCCACAACCCTTTTGTTTTCATGGAGTTTACCTTTTCCCTACAGTGAAATTCCAGCGGCTTAATGGTCGTCATGGAAATTAATAGCACCGTCCTCAATGGTGGTTACTTCACTGCAGGATAGAAGAAGGAGTGGTGAGCTGGGAGGGAGAAAACTGTCATTATCTACAAGTTCCTTTGATAATTAGCAAATGCAGCAGCAAAGATGGTAAGTATCAGAGGATAAATGACTTCACACTCTAATCAGTGTAATCTGGAAGCATTCCCCAGAATGAAGAGGCAGTTCATGTGGATTTTATTTCTTTTCAAATACTCCTTGATTTGTCCTATGTATAAAGAACATGGTTTTACCACTGCTTTACCAACTTCCTCGTTGTGAAGTTTCTCTAATGTCTAAGTCGAATCTTCCCTATTTTAAAATGTAAGTGGGTTGCTTTTTCCATCCCGTATGAATCCAAACTGTTCCATTTCTTCCAGTACTCATTTGTGTATTTGGACACTATTAACATATCATTTCCCCCTCCTTAATCTGTTTCACACAAAGAAACCCAAATAAATTCATGCTGTCCTTGTAGGTCAGGTCTCCATTGCTGTCGTTGCTTTCTGCTGAATTCCAATGATCCACATCCTTATCAAAGGTTACTGTCCAGAGCTTGTACACTGTGATTCATCTCATGTCCCACTTATGCTGTGTAAAAGCTTTATTTAAATATTTCTTCTCATAATCTTGCTAGTCACGCTTCTAGTACACACATATAAAAATACCTTGTGTTTGTGTGGTTCAGCTTGTAAATATGGTTCCACATGAGGCTGTGTTTCTAAAGATAGAATTACTATGGAGTGAAAGAACTCCTACTGTGTGATGGTCCTGAAATAATAATGTCTAGATTTACCTTCAAAGGAAGTAGAGGTGTCTTTAGTTTAACAGTGAATTATTCATGAGTTTTATAACTTTATTTTTAAAACAGTTGATTCAGAAAATGGGCAAAACATCGACAACACAAAAGTATACCTCCTCTTACACATGCTGCTTCAGACATTCAAAACCAAGCAAGGTTCTGGAAAGCAGGCAGTTCCCAATTAAAATTGAACTTCAGGTCCATTTTGTCCTTATTTGCTCTGCAACGTTGTGCGTCGATTCAGCAATTTCTTAAAATTTAATGCATTCTTATTATACAACTCAGTCAAATTTAAAAAAAAATAGAAAAATATCTCTTAAACTCTTCGAAAAGAATTGGGCTTTTTTTCCCCCCATGTAAATCTGTAAATTTGAGTGTGGTTATTTTATTTGCAAAGAAGTAACTTGCAGTACTGCTCTTTCAAAAGAGGACTCCTTCTTTCCTTCTTCCCTTCTTCCCTCCATTTGTACATTTCTACTAGAAACTTAAATTGACCTTTCAGAATTTCAGCAACAAATGTTTCATTTCAACCAGCAAAATAGGTTTTTTCTCTCTTCCAGGCTTTTGGGCTTTGTCTATTGCAATGCAATATATATGATCTCAGGGTGATAAGAGAAATATTATGTTTTCATTTCTTCAACATTCCTCCACGTTTGAAGCTTTTTTCTACTTCTCCTTTTAAAGTACAGAACTATTTAGAAGATACCAAAGGTGATACGGAACAAAACCCTTATCATTGTCTGCTTGAATTCTCATCCATAACAAATGCATATAACAAATATTTTGTGCTCTGCAATTACAGAAATGGCTGTGATTATTTCATCAGGAACCATTGACAAATTAACATAAAATGGCATTAATGAAGAAACTATTATGTTTGAAAGTCTTTTATTGTTTCACCCCTATGATTATTATCTCTTAAAACCTCTAATCAGTGAGAGTGCACAAATGTATTTATCACTCCAGCCCCATTTAGTCTGAAACCAAAGTGAACAACCATCTCATACTACACTTCAGTGTTTCTAGTTGTTATAATTCATTCTTATTTTGTGGTGATAAAGCAGGAAACAATTTGCCAAAGTGATCTTAACAGCTGTCAAATTATTCGTGTTTCCATGCACACAATGGTTAAATATGAAGATCTACAGTCTATTTTTTTGCCTGGAATGCTACAAAAATTATGACCTCGATTGGATATCAGTCTGAATACCTTCTCTTTTTCACAAATTTACATTAGGACAAGAGGGCTGGGTCTTAAGCTGTGCCAGGGGAGGCACAACCTAAGTTGGATATTAGGAAGAATTTCTTTCCGGAGAGAGTGCTCAGCCATTGGAATGGGCTTCCCAGGGAAGGGGTGGATTCTCCATCCCTGGAGGTTTTTAAGATGAGACTGGATGTGGCATCAGTGCCATGGGCTGGGAACCACGGCGGGGTTGGATCAAGGGTTGGACTTGATGATCTCAGAGGTCTTTTCCAACCTGGTTGATTCTGTGATTCTGAGATTATTTTGTTAAAAGGCTCTCAAAGCAAAGCTGAATCTGGACACCTTCCACGATTCTGCTTTGCAACTAATTAAAACTAATTTCAAAATTCCTAACACATTTCAATTTATTCGGAGGTAAAATCATCTAATCTATGTGGTCAAAATAGACAATTTGTAAGCATGGCACCACAGAAATATATTAACCCTTCCATCTCCTTTGCATATGTGTTTGAAATGTTAAATCAGTAGGAAAAGCTAGGTCCACAAAGAAGGTAAAACACCCAGGTATCCAGGCCCAGGAAAGGCTGAACTATGGTCTATATGAATTTACAAGACAAAATGAAAAAACATTTTCTGCAGATAGAAGAATAGGAGAGAAGACTCATATTAATGGGAAAAACTGTGTTTCTGTGTATGAGGAAATTCTGTGTGAAGTATTAGAGGTAGATTAAACTAGTGTGTGATGCACCATGTAAGAAGAAGTAATTTGTAATATAAAATTTTCAGGACCCACTGGTTGGGGCTGCAATCCTAAATGACATATTAAGATTCATATTAGCACAAAATAATTATAAAGTTATTAAATCATCCGGTAGAACAGATTGAACTATCAAATATCCAGCAAAATAGATCAACCATCAGGAAATAAGGCTGGGTATCAGGGAATCAGAAACTAAAATACTTCCCATAAACCTCAGGAATTTTGAGTGAACTCTCAAAGAGTTAAAGAGTAGAAAACATGCAAATCAAATAATGCTCATGAATCATGGCTATAAGAAAGTTTAGAGACCATTTGGGCATTAAAACCTGTAAAAACCCAGAAAAATTGGCTGAATATGTGGCATCTCAATACTTGATGTACTGGCTTTATTAGAGTCTGAACCTGCCATGGCTGCTGAAAAGAGTTTTAGAGAAAACCCACGGAGGAAAAAAACCGTCTAGAAGAGAGTTATATAAGCATCTTGCCTGATTTTATTAGGCAGTAACACATATATTAGGTAGGGATAGTGTCACAGAGAAAACAACACCGGAGGAAGAAGCCAGAAAGACAGAGTTTTAGTGCTGCTGCGAGCAGAAATGTGTCACAGGAATGTGTTGCTGGGTGTACACGGGGTCAGCAACGCTGAATTTGAGTGACTGGACTCGACCAAATTACAGTTAGGGGAGACACCTAGTGTCTCCGGTACGGATTGCAACAATTACTTCTGAAACTTCCAGTTTTCAAATAGTCTAAAAAAAAAATAAAAGGAGGGTTAGCGGTAGCACAGATTTAATTCTGACAAGTGGACGGTTTTGTAGAAAAACTCCTCGTTTACCGTAAGAAGAGATAAAATAACAAAAAGTTGCACGGATTTGTTCCTTTGTATTTTTTTTTTTTTTTTAGGATTTTAGATAATATTTTTCATTTCGGAAAGGCAGCCTTTGGGAGTTTCAGGGAACGAGTGGATGAAGTAAACTGAGGAGCTTAATGCCATGTAGGATTTTTCGTTTCCAGATAAATATTTGCTTCTTTAATCTCATATCTTGGACCACGCGGAAAACACTCCAAGGAAGGACTCTGACATGATTAACTCTTCCAGTAATCACATTAGGAGAAAACAGCATACAGTGACAAAAGAAATGGTGGAAGGAAGATGTGCCTTAAAAGTCAAGATGAGAAGATAAAGTAGTCTTTGCAAAAGATGTTAAAACACAGAGGAAAAGATTTTGTGGCCATGTAAATTAAATAAATAAGGAAGAAGGGGAGGTGACTTGCTGTACAGTGGCATTTGATGATGAAGTTACCCTTTACAACAGAGGGCTCCAAAATCGATATCATGGTTTAATTTTCAATAAGGAAGAGTTAATGAGGGTGAGACTATGGAAATGACTGCAACTGGAAAACATTCAAAGATCTCAGTGCATTCAATTAAAGGAACACAATAATCCTAAAAACCTGAAAGAACTGATAAGTGAAAACATATTCCCATAACAGGGATTTTAAACAGGAAGCATTTCAGAGCAGATGATAAACAATTATCCTGTCTAAGAATGTGTTTACTTATTTTATAAAAACTCCTTAATAAGCTTAAAATATTGTCTTCTGGGCTAATTATATAAGAGAAATATGTAAGAGTATTAAAGAGAAGATCTTCATAATAAGTGATCTAATTGGGAAGATAGGTTTTCATAGGAACATACCAGTGGTATTACAGGTACTGACCTTTTTTAATATAACAATATTTTTTTCTTTTTTTCTTGGTCCTGAAAAGTGTACGAAAAGAGGTGGTAACAATTAACACACAAATCCCAACAAATATGATATTACTAATGATATATACAGTCCTTATAAATTCTGCAAAAATAGTCCTGAACTAAATAACCACAGAGACCAAGATCAAAAATCATAAAATCAAATTCTTTCCACAGACAGGTATCACTATTGCAAAACCACAGAACATTCCATTTGGTTTGTTCCCCTGAATTATTTTATTACTAGACCAAGCCATTTGATCAGTATACAGCTTACAGACCTACGCTACCAGCTTATTTTTTAGAAATATTTAGTCTCAATTCCCACAAAACATAATGTTTTTCCTTAATCAAGCCATTCATTCTTGAATGCAGGACCTGCAATGGTGGAAATATGGAAATATCTCCTGCTTTGCTTCACCAAGAATGAATCAGTAGTGAAAATAAACACTTGATTTCCAACAGCTGCAACCACTGGACTGTATTCTTTTGCCTAACAGATTAAATACCTCTGTATCATTTGTCACCCTCTATCTTTCATTATAAGTGGCTAAGTGTTGTTACAGTAAGACCTTACCATGGG